CCGACCCGACTAGACCCGACCCGACTAGACCCGACCCGACTAGACCCGACCCGACTAGACCCGACCCGACTAGACCCAACCTGACTAGATCCGACCCGACCCAACTAGACCCGACCCGATCCCATCTGCAAGGGCGCCCCGTATAATGCTAATCTAGAAACTGCCTGGAACCCGCGAACACCAACCTCGAGGCGAGCCCGCCAAATTCTACAGGTGAAGGCGTTGAGTAGATACGAGAGGTGCAACTCAGGGCCAGATAAAACTGGCAAAATAGCTGTCTTCTTGTGGTGGAGCGCAGATGCATCTCAAGTCCAAGCTGTGTCTCTTGCTCAGGCAAACTGTATCGCTTTAACTGGGGGGTTACTAGCAACTAGTTATGTTTACTATGACTTGTGTCACGACGCGGTGGAATCAGGCGCTCATCAATTTTTGGGCATTTTAAAGCTTGTTCATTTGTCTTATTTTCGATGAAAATGAACTATCCATCTAACTTGAATAGAAGCTTAATCAATATTGGCAATTGAAGGACGTGTAGGTGGCCTGATTTCAGAAGTAAACTTGACAAGAAAATGACAGCCAAGTTCGGTGACTTTTATAGCTTAAGAGTCTTTGGAAAATGAAAATTTATAATTATTTTTCTTACAATAAAAACTTTTCCGTAAAATCCATAAAGAAATATGTCTTAAAAGCACAAAAAGGTGTTGAGCCAAAAAATAAAAATTCGAAAAAAATTGCACAATCGGCGAAAAAATGTCAGTTTCTCCGATTTCATTATTTTAACGAGCGCCTGAATTCACCACGATGTCTCATAATTTGTAACATGCTCATTCGTCATTAATTTTACTTCATGGGAAATTCCATTAAATGTGGGGTCAGATATAAAGCTTAATTAAGGTATTTTAAAATAAAGTGAAGCCATCAAGAGTTAGGAAAATTTTTGCTTCCAAAAAGGTGTGTGCGTGGGGGGTAATCTCCGACCCGCTGTTTGATTATGTCCATAAAAGCAGCGAGATTAAAGAAACGAAATTAAGCTGGACGTAATCCCCCTAAATCAAACCGTTTAGATAAGTACCCACACTATAAACTAAAACTTAAGCAGAAATTCGTCTGAAGCAAGACGTTAAAATCCATGTAAACCTGTTCAATAGTTCACATTTTTAATACGCGTACTGTTGTCTTGTAGCATGTTAGACAGAAATTCATTTCAACCAAGACCTTCAGTAACTTGGTGAGCAGTTTAAATTTGTGTAAACTTGTTAAGTAGTTCAGATATTTTTATCTCTCTGTAACTCGCCTACTTCTTTCTTGTAGCATTCTTGTAGTATGTTAGACAGACATTCATCTCAAGCAAGACTTTCAGCAACTTGTGTGAGCAGTTCAAGTTTGTATAAACTTGTAACGTAGTTCTGATATATCTCTCTGTAACACGCCACCTACTTTCTTGTAGCGTGCACCCTCCCTCCCACGTCTTCGCCTTCTGAGGTTTATTTCCTCACAGACTGTTCGCCACATCTCACAGTATGGCAGCTTCATTGCGCCATCTGGTGGACAAACCCTCATAATACCTGCGCCTTGAGCTGCAGCAGATTTAGAATATAAAAAAGCAAACTGTAAACAAGAGAAGAAGTTAACGGGGAAAATTGAGACGAGGACGATGGACTTCCAAAAGAAGAGAATAGAGAGAGGGAGAGTGAGTATGTAAGTGAGGGAGGGAGAGAGAGAGAGAGAGAGAGAGAGAGAGAGAGAGAGAGAGAGAGAGAGAG